ATAAGTGTAAGGAAGTCTGAATCATACCTACGTTTGTGTTTACATTACTTGAAGATAAAAGCAAACATCTGGATGATCCAGACTAGATCAAACCAAGGACTACACAAACGAATCGCTGCAAAAATACCATGTATCGAAATATCGGAAAACACTCATAAATATCGGATTCTTGGATTCAAATTAGCGGAATTCCGCTAAATATCTGAACAGAATCATCACTGCTAGATGCATCATTCATGCAAGTTTGGTTACTTGGGAATGGATCTGCTTATAAAACTTTAAACACTAACGCCAACTATAGAACAAGTTTATCTGGACTTCGTCAAGGTGAGCTCAATATTTATTTATATCTAGCATATTGTGAAATCACGAATTTTTGTGGAGGTATCAATTTTTTTTGCGGTAAGAAGAGACCCAAGAATTCATGTCCTACAAGAATTATTACAATTAAACAGTTATACCTCTTCTAGCCTCTGTAGGTAGTAGGGCTGACTGATGTCCATCCCATCAAACTGTTCATCCTCTGCTACGTTTCGGTCGACATACTTGCAGATGAACCTCTTAAACTTTTCCTTGCAGTGACTGACTACCACATCAGTTCCCCATATAACCAGCTGTGGTCCTGCATTGGGGTCACTGCTAATCTCACTTGTAATTCTTGTTGGCTCCTATGAGAAAAAACAAAAAGAAAACAACAGATGTTTAAGTTTCAGAGTGGAAAAAATGAATATCTTTTACTTAAAATCAAACTTCTTGCATCCAGAATAATTAACTTCCAAAATATGATATTATCGTATATCATAGGTCTTCATGCTATTTGAATTTACATGCCTTCTTTACCAAAAGAATGCCAAAGTCATATCATATACAGTGATTTTTTTATACATTACGTGTAAAGTTTCAAACGCTCCTACTTATTTATGAACTCTCCCTTCATTCTGCAAGTATTAAATCTCATAACACTCACACTAGGGTCTGAACCTCCAATGGTAACCTGGCGAATTTTGCGGTCACTTCTGACATCAGGTCTCGATCGGATGGGTGTGCCAGCAGCTCCTGGGGTCATAGGACCACCCATTCTTGAACTAGGGGTTCCGTAGTTCAAAGGTGAACTAAGGTCAATCTCACTTGTGGGAGCTTGTTAAGATAATACAGGTGGATTAATGACATAATAATGTGTCCCTCATTTTCAAAAACTAATGAGGGTAGCTTTCAAAAGATTGTGCTTGATCATTAATCTACACATACAATAATTATTTTTGAGCTTAAGGTGCGATTTTTACCTCCAAGTCTTGACTGTGGAGGGCTTGAGAACAGGGATCTATCTTGATTAACTCCCCCTGACTGTGGTGATGATGGCAACTGTTCAAGATCACCGCCAGGAGAACTATCAATTCGTCTACCCTTGGATGGAGGGGATGTTGTTTCATCCTGAGAAGTTCGCGTCTTTCTAGCACTGCTTCTTGTTGATGATGCTAAAGGAAACCATTATATTTATGGAAACCATTATATTTATATTTATACATGCAACAGAAAGCTTTTGAATGTATCACAATAGATCCAAAAAGCAAATACTTACGAGTGGAAGCACCTGATCTTGCTTTTCTTGAAGCTGAAAACAGAAATCAATGTACTCATAGTTCTGTAAGCCGTGTTCATAAAAAAAATTAATAAAAAATATGGGCTTCTACGACATCTAACATAAAGACCAATTTTTAAAAAGAAATTTATGAAAAAATATTTTTAAAAAATTTACATAGTAAATGATACAGCAATTTTTTGCTGGGACTTCATACCATGGTCCTAATCAGTCAAGATCAATTTTTTTAAAAGGGGGGGGGGGGATATTTTGTACAGTTTTTTTTTTTTTTTTTGAGGAGCAATGAACAAAATTTTTACCTAAATTCCAGTATATTCAAGGCTCCTGTACAGTATTATCCCACATAGGAGGGTTCAAACATGTGGCATTAAACTCTTTTCATAGAAAACCCTCAGAAAAGATTGTCAAACTTTTTCCTTGCTGACATTTACAGATTTTAATTTTCATGTCTTACCAAGTGTAAAATTCATTCATTATCTTTGGCAATTCAATTCTCACTTTTCCCTTCATACCAATTTAGCAATATTTCTGATTAGTTCCAAAAGAGCAGAAAAAAATGAAAACAAGTTTTACTTCAGGAAATGGGAAGGGTTTATTAGATTAAACAAAAGGAAAAGTTACAACAAATAAACATCCAAACATCATTTATTATTAATTGCTCTAGTAGGAAGACACAAGTTCTCTTAGAATGTCTTCATAAGAGGATTGCTGGTTTGCCTTGCTGACTGCTTTTAAAAACTTAACACAAGAATTTTGAAATTTTTTTCCATCAATGACCTTAGATGGGGTCATTGGTTTCTTGAAAAGGGGGTAGCGGGGTAGGGTCCGGTTCATTCTTGGTAATTTTTTTATATATTAATAAACAAAATCTAGCAGAATTAGCGAAGAATTTATTGTTTCAAAAAATATTTTTTAATATTGTTTAAAGGTTTTTTTTGTAAAGGGGTTACAATCTTACCCATTGCACCCGGGCCCCTATTCAGACAGCTTTATTAGATATTGCCCAAGGTGAATTCAGATGAAAGGCCAGCTTCTGAACAACAGGAAACATTAAACCGATTTCTTCAATTGCCATGGGAATTCAGGTAATTTGCCTTCTATATACATTATCATAGGGATTTAAACAAGAGGCCCATGGGCCACATTGCTCACCTGAGCACACTGGCAAGGCAAAAGCACAAATCAGTTCAGTATTGAAAAGATTACGGGGGGGGGGGGGGGGGGGTACAACAAATGGCTTTGTTGTACTTGAGAAGATTTTTAAAAAAAATTCCCATATATTCCTCTGTAAAAATATGATCCCCCATTGTGGCTCCTCCCTATCCCAGGGGTCATCATTTGAACAAACTTGAATCTACACTACCTGAGGATGCTTCCATATCAATATGACTAAACATAGCTTTTCTGTTCTTGAGAAGAAATTTTTTTCTATATGTTCCTATGTAAAACTTTCGATCCCCTTATTGGGCCCCACCCTACCCTCAGGGGTCATCATTTGAACAAAATTGAATTTACACTACCTGAGGATGCTTCCATATCAAAATGACTAAACATGATTTTCAGTTCTTGAGAAGAAGATATTTTCCTATATGTTCCTATGTAAAATTTTCGATCCCCCATTATGGCCCATCCCTATCCCCTGGGGTCATCATTTTAACAAACTTGAATCTACACTACCTGAGGATGCTTCCATATCAAAATGACTAATCATGGCTTTGCAGTTCTTCATCAGAACATATCTTCCTATATATTTCTATTTCAGACTTTTATCCTCCATTATGGCCCCACCCTACCCCAGTGGGTCATGATTTGAACAAACTTCTACCTGAGGACACTTCCACATAAATATGATCAATCAGGGCTTTGCTGTTCCTGAGAAGATATTTAAAGATTTTTCCTATATATTTCTATGTAAAACTTTGATCCTCCATTGTGGCCCCGCCCTACCCGGGGGGGGTCATGATTTGAACAAACTTGAATCTTCACTACCTGAGGATGCTTTCATATAAATATGACCAATTAGGGCTTTGCTGTTATTGAGAAGAAGATTTTTAAAGATTTTTCCTATATATTTCTATGTAAAACTTTGATCCTCCATTGTGGCCCCGCCCTACCCCCGGGGGTCATGATTTGAACAAATTTGAATCTACACTACCTGAGGATGCTTCCATATAAATATGACTCATCATGGCTTTGCTGTTCTTGAGAAGAAGATTTTAAAAGGTTTTTCCTATATATTTCTATGTAAAACTTTGATCCTCCACTGTGGCCCCGCCCTACCCCTCGGGGTCATGATTTGAACAAACTTGAATCTACACTACCTGAGGATGCTTCCACATGAGTTTCATCTTCCCTGGCTTTGTGGTTCTTGAGAAGAAGATTTTTAAAAGATGCTACTAATTTTTCACTATTTCTTCATTATCTCCCCTTGAAAGAGGGCGTGGCCCTTCATTTGAACAAACTTGAATCCCCTTCACCCAAGGATACTTTGTGGCAAATTTGGTTGAAATTGGCCCAGTGGTTCTTGAGAAGAAGTCGAAAATGTGAAAAGTTTACAGACGGACGGACAGACAGACAGACAGACAGACGGACAAACGGACAGACGGACTACAGACAAAATGTGATCAGAAAAGCTCACTTGAGCCTTCGGCTCAGGTGAGCTAAAAACTGCAAGAATTGCTATCAATCAATTCACTTAAATGTATCTGCTAATACTTTCGGTTCATTTTTGACTTCTTGTTTTAATTTCTCAAGCGAACACCTTCGTTACTGAACGCACTTTACATGTCCGCCAGAAATCTTACGTGTAACAGGTTCCTCAGCAGCTGGAGAGTTGGGATCCTCTGTTCTCCCCCTCTTACTTCTGCGGCGTGGAGTTAATGGATCAGACATGACTTATCTAGTAATTTATATAAAAAAAATTGATTCATCACAAATATTTCAAAGTCCAAAACAAAACAGACAGTATTTTTCTTTTTTTAAAAGAAAATGCAAAGTATGTGCAGGTAGGCCTACATATGATATGTATTAAATCGGATCAAAACAATAACTTTATGTGCGTTTTCTTAAAAGTAAATACATAGACTACTTAATTTAAAGAGTGTACATTTAACAGATTTATGTATGCTGTTTTTTTCTTACCAGTTCTTCAAGATCACCCACTTTTCCCGAACAAAGCAAAGAGGAAGGCAATGTTTATGTCACGTGTTCGAAATCCGCGGGAAAAGTATTTACGACAATAATTAAGTAATTAAAAGAATAGAATATCTCTGGTTTGAAATAATTTAAGTCAAATTATATACACAACATCTTTATAACATTGAAAATAATGTTTACTTAAAAAATCTAAATATTTTACAAGGCTACAGTTTCACGACATATCGCTGTTCGACTCCATAATTTCACATCCGGTCAATGTGACAGCATGAAGTCGAGATGAAACACATGACAATGCACTTACACTATCGTTTGTTTAGGGTTAGAAACGTGCTTAAAATAAAAGCGCAATCAATCGTAACTAAAAATCACGCCAGATTGGTTCATGGTCCAACAGGCGATGGTGGAGACAATGAGCCACCAAGTGATACCAGTGCGGGAGCTGACCGAGTTATAAACGAAATTCCTACAGAAGGAGGTCCACCTGATATTCCAAGCAGTGATAAACCATTAGTTGATCCAAGTAGTTCACTTCAAACACGGGGAGTAATTAGGAAAAAGTTTTATGTGAATAAGAGATTTTCTGTCTTGTTGTTTCCTGGACAAGGGAGCCAGTTTGTGGGGATGGGTAAAATGGCCTTACACTACCCTGGGGTCAAAGAACTGTATGAACAAGTCAATGAACATTTCAAGAAGGACATACTGAAATTATGTTTACTTGGTCCAAAAGATGAACTAGATAAGACAATTAACTGTCAGCCTGCCGTTTTTGCAACATCATTAGCTGCAGTTGAAATGATGAAGGAATTACATCCAGAAGTATTTGGTTTTTTTTTTATTTATCTCTTTTGTACAAAGTTACACATTTCAGTCCAATTCAGTATGTTGAATTTGCATTTAGGTGGTTTAATCTAATGATTTTTTCCAGGTTTTCCAGAACCCAACCTACACAGCAGGCTACAGTCTGGGAGAGATCACAGCTTGTGTTTATGCAGGTGTCATGTCCTTGGCTGACGGTAGGAAGCAATTGTAATGATTTCATGAATTAGACAAGTGTTCTTCCTAAATAGTCTCACCTCTCATTTCTAAAGTTATTAGATTTACCATTAATAATAACATTATCATGTATTAAAAAGAATTATTTGCATACTCAAATGATAAAGAGCTGGGTACTACTAAACAGAGAACCCTAGAGAACTCTAAAGAACCTTAGAGAACCCTAATGTTTTTGAATTATTTATGGTCTGTAAATGAAATTTGAATGTATTAGATAACCAGTATATCAAACAAAAACAAAATCAAATTTGAAAAAAGAACATTTTGACACATTTTATGAATAATTTTAACAGATTACTAATCTCTGAAGACTTTTATCATACCTTTCATTATGTAAGTAATAAGAAATTAATTTTATTCATACGTTTTACATTAAAGTGAATGGCTAAGAGTTTTACATAACTTTAAAAATAGTATTAAATAAAAAAAAAATGTGAAAAAGAATTGTAAACTTGTGATAAAATTAATAATAAACGTTTTTGAAATTCCATCGAGATCGGGATGACATAAAATATTTCGCCATCTACCTGTTTACGTTTTTCAACTATTTTCGGCGGAAAACATTCATAAAATAACTTTATTACTGACTATATAGATAGAATATGATTTTTAAAGTAAAAATCAACCCAATTATGCCTAATATTTATTTGAATTCACCAAATAAACCTTGAGTTCTCTAGGGTTCTCTAGAGTTCTCTAGGGTTCTCTGTTTAGTAGGACCGTAAAGAGCTACATGCGGTTACGGGTATATGCATGTTTTTGTCCCCACAAAAGTCATATTTTGAAAATTCCTGGAAATGTGCTGAATTGTATATTATTATTATAAATTAACAAAAAAATTATAACAGTTTGGAAGTAGGTTAATGGCAATTTTTGTTTCTCTGATGTCACAAACTATTTGTAATGTGTATTATTTTTCAGAAGAAGGAGAAAATGGACAAAATTTGTTCAATTTTTACTATAAAATTTATGGAGCGCAAACCTGCTACAGAACACAATTTACATATTTCATTGATATTATCATTCTACACACATATCAAAACAATGATTTGGAGCAGACCTGCGCTTGGTGACTTTTACTCAAAATATCGACGTAATATACATATACACCTTTTTCTGTACAAGTCATGGAAATTATGAATTTTCATCATTTTCCTGACATCATAACTAACATATGGTGTCATGGCTGATAAAAATATTCAAATGCTTTGAAGTCTGCAGATATCCCCCTGTTTTAGAACATAATTATATATTTCTCCATCAAAGTTTGATTTTGGGGGCAAATATTGGTCATTTATAACAATATTTTCAATAATTCTACAGCTTTGAATGTGTTACAAACCCGAGCCTATGCCATGCAGGAAGCCTCAGAGGAAGTTGGTAGTGGAATGATGACAGTGTCCATTACCCACAAGTCAAAGCTTGGCCTTGCTAAAGAGGCAGCCATCAAGTACTGTTCTACAGAGTGTGGCATAACCAACCCTGTTGTCCAGACAGCTAGCTACCTTACTCCCTACCATAAAGTAATAGCTGGTCACAATGAAGTAAGTAGTCCAGACAGTTAGCTAACTCACTCCCTACACCAAAGTAGTGGCCAGTCACAATGAAGTAAGTAGTCCAGACAGCTAGCTACCTCACTCCCTACACCAAAGTAGTGGCTAGTCATAATATAGTAAGTAGTTCAGATAGCTAGCTACTTCACTTCCTACAACAGTGCAGTGGCTAGTCATAATAAGGTAAGTACTCCAGAGAGTTAGCAACCACATTCTCTACACCAAAGTTGTGGTAAGTCATAATAAAGTAAGTACTCCAGACAGCTAGCTACACCAAAGAAATGACTATCATAATGAAGTAAGAAACCCAGCTAGCTAGATTCCACACTCAATACCACAAAGTAGTGGCCAGTCAGAATAAAGTAAGTAGTCCAGACAGTGGCCAGTCATAAAAAAAAGGTAAGTAGTCCAGACAGCTAGCTACCTCACTCAATACCACAAAGAAGTGGCCAGTCATAATAAGTAAGCTTACAGCTAGCTTCCTAACTTCTTACCACAAAGTAGTGGCTAGTCATAATAAAGTAAGAAATCCAGACAGATGGCCACCTCTCTCCCTACCACAAAGTAGTGGCCAGTCATTATAAGTAAGTTGTAAGCTAGCTTTCTCACTCCTTACCACAGACTAGTGGCTAGTTGCTTTGAGGTCCAGACAGCTGGCTTCCTCCCTTCTTACCACAAAGTATTGGTTACAAAGAGTAATGTAGTCATTTACACAGTTTATAAAATTCATTACTATTTAGTGGTTATGCATAATGAATTCAGATTTTTTGTATGTTTAGTAAAGATGACATTTAATGTAATATATATAGATCTATATTATAACTCTGCACTTTTACAGGCTTTAGATTTTATTGCTGACACCGCCAGACATTTTGGTTTGAGTGGATGTAAAAAACTTTCAGTTAGTGGAGCATTTCACACAACGTTGATGAAACCAGCAGTAGATGACATGTATTCAGCTGTCAAAGATGCAACTTTTCAGCTGAAATCAAAACACAGAGTGTTTTACAATTACACAGGGAAACTTCATGATAATCCAACACAGATAAAGAAGAACTTGTGTGAACAGTTGACTCATCCTATCAAATGGGAACAGATAATGCACACAATCTACTCGAGGCCCCAGGGGGAGGAGTTTCCCCAGACGTATGAAGTGGGGCCAGGGAGACAGCTAGGCTATATACTGAGACTGACCAATGAGAAAGCTCATTATAAAAAATATCATCATATAGAAGTCTGAATAATACACTTTTAAAAATGTCTTTCTCATATCTCTTACTTCATCACAACAAAGCTAAGAAGTTCAATATTTTATTTTTACTCCTGTTGAAAAAAAATGAAGTTCATATGATTAGGAAGCGAGATATACATGTACAATAGGTTTTCATACCTATACAAAGGTATAATTCAGTCCGTGCTTTATTACTAGAACTGATGTGATCACTATTTTTCAAGTTTGTTCAAAAATGTCACCTTTTATTTAATATGTCTTGTGTTTTTTTTTTTCTCAACAAAACCAACGATTCACTGTCATGTTTAAGCACTGTTAGCTGGTCTTTGAAGCTTGGAATTCTGACAGATGGCTTGAGTTGCTACTTTCCTGCCAATACTTGTTGTGAGGTCACAGATATGAAGAATGTGTCTGTTGTCTAAAACACCTTGTACGCTTTTCAGAAGATTGGATACCTGTAAATTACGTAGATTTTAGAGTGTATGGCAGTGTGCATGTATAACATGTTGAGTTACATCTTACTTTGACAGAAAAGGGAAAAAAAGATCAAGTGATTGAACCCTTTATAAATATGTAGCATCAAACAAGGTGTTGAACATAAAAAAAAACAATTTTAAAAGTTCTTTTTAATTAAATACAAAATAAGACATTGTAAATAAAGTATCAAATTATAGGTGAGGGGCTTTATTCCATGGACTGAATTGATCAGGTCCAAATTCACCAGACTCCATCAAAAGTAAAACAAACATGGAAGTCTGTTTATAGTGTTGAATAGTTACTACATGTAGAAGTACTTTTTTCTGTGTGGTATTAATTTACATTATGTAATGTGTATGGGGTGACAAATATTCCGCAGCAATTTGTCCCAGCATACAGAAAGTACATTCAAGGCATACAGTGGCAATGTAAGAAATCTGTGTAACTTTCTACCTGTGGATTAAACAGAAATTGTGATTCCATGAAATTATGACCTCATGGAATAAAGTACATGTACATTTACTGTTAGTGACTGCAGCTTTCATTCAATCATTGTATGTTTACAAAAAGAACATTTTCAGCAGTCATCTCTGCTAATGTATTTTTCTACCCCTACACCCCAGCTCCTAACTGGATGACAAAAAGAATCGAGCTTGAATTAAAAAAATGTCTTACTGCCTCTTAAAATAACATACCAAGTTTGAACAACAAAAAATGTTATTAGACAAAATTTGGATACTAGTAAATGTGGATGGACAGAACGACAAACAGTAATTACTATAGGGCAATTTCAAATGGTTGCAAGCCCCAGTTACTGTAATTTCTATATTACCAGTATATCGTGCATTATATACATATACATGTAAGACTACAAACCATTTGTGGTGGCATGAACTGCAGGATAAACTTAGCATTCTGACTGCCACAGTTGATGGCTTCTCGAACAAAACTTATGATAAAACTCAGTCTAGGTGAGACGAGGCTGTCCTGGGATAGAGCGTTCATCAAACGCATCAGGTTAGCTGGAAAGAAAAGGGAAAAACCATTTACTCTTCTAGCCAAAACTGCTACATACAGCATTTGTACTCTGTGAGTGGGCATTTAAAAATTTGTTTGCTTACAGATATCTTTTAGGTTATTCCAATAAATACTTTCCCAATACTTGTACACAGATACCCTTAGATTATTTCAATAAATACTTTTTCAATATTTAAAAGCAATTAAAAAGAATCAGAAATAGGGTTTTTACAAAAAGATTTGCATTGTCGTCTGACATTAGGTAATAGAAGGCAATTTTTGTACAAAGGTTAAAGACAATTTAAGTAATACAAACCATTTATATGCTTACCCAAAGATTTATTTAATGGATCTTTTGCATCAAAAGTTGGTGAAGTTTCTCCATCTTCCTTAGCTGTTAGAAAATCTGTAAAAAAAAGCAGACATATTATTTCCTCTTCAGTACAGAGAAAATACACAGTAATCATGTGTATAAAGAGATCATGATGTTCTTAAAAAGATCAAGTATTTTTAAAAATACATTATGATGTGTATAATTTAAAGAGATTGTGTGTTTAAAGAGATCATGATGTGTATGAAAGAGATCATGATGTATATAAATTAAGAGAACACATGCTTAAAGAGATCAAGATGTATTTGAGGTCATGATGTTCTCAGAGATTATGTTTGGCTTAAAGAGGTCATGGTGTGCCCAGAGATCATAATATGCTCATAGAGATCATGATGATGTGGAGAGATCACATTGTGATTAAGCTGTTTGTAACATGTTTGTGTTTAAAGAGAACATAATGAACATTAACAAATCATGATGTGTGTAAAGAGATCATTCTTTGCTAAAGAGAGAGATTATGATGTGTAAACAGATCATGATGTGTTTAAAGAGATCATGATGTGATTAAAGGGATCATGGTTTATATCAAGAGAACAAATTATGTTTAAAGAGATCATGATGTGTTTAAGGAATTCATGCTTGAAAAGATCACAACATATATTCAGAGATCATAATGTGTTTAAAGAGATCATATTGTGCTAAAGAGGTCATGAATTGTATATAGAGATTATACTGCTTTTGCTGTGTATTCATGTAAATTAAAGAGAATATGATGTGTATAAATTAAACAGATCATGATGTGAATACAGAGATCATAATATGGATAAAGAGATCATGTGTATTGATTGCTTATAAAGAAATTTTTACTGATTTGCCTTAAATCTGAAAGTGTATAAATATATAATAATAATTATTTTAAAGAATATGGTTCACATTGTTTAAATTAATTAAGAATTTTACCAAAGTTAAATCCTTCAGAATCCAGTGTGAGTTGTGGCTCCAGAGATGACGACTTGCTTCGCTTCACGGGCCGACATTCTGTCTCCTCCATGTCCTGATAACAAACCAACAGTGTTAATGAAACAAAATATTGGGAATGTTTGATAAAACAGGTTCCTCTTGAGGTTCTTGTTTCTACATATGTAATGTACATGTATACAGGTACTAGTATCATACAATCTTACTATACCTCAAGCTCCACCTCTTTCCTTGACCGCTTTCTGCCCCTTCTCAAATGTGGTATAGTGTCTAGAAACATTTAATACATGACTTAAATGAAATAATTTAATTCAGATTGTAGTTCACTATTTGATAGGTTGAAAAAATTACTTTATTAAATAATCTGTATTGCCTATACAAGATAAAAGAGTGTTAAAAAGGGATACACTGCAATAAAAGACCTGTCAAAAACGAATAAATCCACTTGATGTTATATTTAAATTCTGTACATTTCAATGTAATTTTTGAGGACAAAACATCTTTTTTTCCCTTCGTGGTAGAAAATTAAATTGAAAGGAATGAAGGATACCCAGTCTTAGAGTAAAACCTGGGTTGTCACAGTTTATGCTTTACTATCAATTGCTTCACAATTGATAAAGCATAAATTTTCCCAAACCAGGTTATACTCATATACTTTGGGTTTTAAATTCATTCCTTAATCAATTTTACATGTACATGTTTTCATATTTTCTGAGTGAAAAAAAATCACAAACAAAAAACTTACTGAAAAATGAAATTCGAAGGGAACGATAAACACAAGTTGCCACATATATATACTAGTATACAGTATATGTACTGAGGGAATGTGTTTAGTTTGTGTATGAGACAGCCTTACCTTTCTCAGCATTCTTTGAGTTCTGTGCTGACACTAGAACCATGACTGATAATTTGGCCAGTATGTTGCCCCGGGGATCAGTGAGCAGGGGGTGATAGTGTGTGGTCTGAAGAAAGCGTGGCAGGGTGTGGAACAGCAGGCTAAGGGTTATGTGTTCCAGGTCCATGTGGAAAATAGCATACACTAGACTCAAGGCCTTCATCAAGTCCTCTAGGCGACTACTCTCTAGCATTGCCTGTAATTATTTTTTTATTACTTTAATGTAATTTTCATTTTTGAATTCATACGTTTTAAACTTACATGTCATCCGACATAATGAGGCACCAGGAATTAAAGCTATGTATATATGTGTCTTTTAATCTACCTCTATACATCTGTCACAAAACCAGTCAGATCCACATAGATTGAGAAGATACTCCAACGTCTGGACAGATTTAATGTCCAGCCAACCACGTTTGAACACACTCTTAATGCACTCATCCATGACCTCACTGGGTAGCTTGTCAGATGGCACATAGTTTGTAAAGTTCACTCGCTGAGGTACAGGCAGTATGTCATTAATCAGTTTCTGAAGGATGGGAGACATAAGTGCATATCTGTTGGAAAAGAAATGTTGGCATTGAATGAAATTTGTTGTTCAGCTGCATAGTTTATTTTAGTGCAGTCATCTGAATTCACATGGCTTAACAATACTTTCTCAAAATTTCATCTGAGGCTTAAATTCAAGACAATAATATTTTATCCAAATGTTTCTTGTTTCTCACTGCTGCACTTTTATGCTACACTCTACTGAGTGTAGCACTCTTTCTTTCAATATCAAGAACTATGATATCAAGTAATTTGAGGTTTACCTTTCATTATAATTAAGGTCGGGATCTGGATTCATAGCAGGTGCTTGTAACATCTGTATCATTTGTAATGGCTTCTCACGGGCTTTGTCTGGTACAACACTAATGTAACTACACAACCAAGCACACAGCACGATGGGAATACAGCACATTTTGTTCTTGATGAGTTCTATGATCATCTGTGTAAAAGAACACACCAATAATATGGAAGCTTACTGGTATAATAACAACTCAAGTTTCTGTTTTAAAAAGTTATGCATCTGCTGAAAAACATTCACACTTGAGTTCTTAGCTCATTATCTTCATATTAGTCATGTGATGCCAGCCTTGCACTTAAACCAATACACAGATTTAAGCCCATTACACAGTCATGATTAGAGCTACGTTTAATTATGAATTCAAAAATTTGGAGTTATCATCATAGTCATAGGATATCTTCCTTTTTTGTATTTTATTGCAGCAATTCACCAAAAACAGTGATTGCTTTGAACATACTCAAAACAAATCCTGGCCATAGTATGAGATTACTGTGAGTGTTATTCAAATTAATAGGAATGTGTATACCTTTCCATGTACATGTACATGATGTGAAAAAGGGCAGTTGATGACAATGCAACATAAGTACTGTGTGATTGGAAGTTAGAATGAAAAAAGGCATGTGCAATCTGACTATACATGTATAAGACATTGTCTGATGTTAATCCTGTCAGAATTAAATTGACATCTAAAAGAAAAAGAAAGAATTTAAGAGAAGTGAAAGAAACTGCATTTTCCACAGAACCTGAAGACCATGATCAATTAATTCATGAAAAGACCAAAGATAATCAGAACTCCTCACTCTAGCCATTACTCTGACCCTCAGACTTTTGATTTGATGTTTGAGAATTTCAAACAACTCACTTCAGATACATTTTATAATATATGTACATCAGTGTTTGTATCAACTCACCACTATTCGTAAGAATATTGTGAATGTATTGTGCCATTTTGTAGTCATTCATAAGAAACTTAAGGTGTTTATATTCATGTCTTATTTTACCTAAAGATCATAACCATTTGTAATGTGGTCACCTCAGTTTGTGCATAAATTGCCATGGTTAATTCTGGTACTATATATAAACCTCATATAATGTTGAACGGATATCATAATAATATGGTTTGAAAAGCAAAAATACCACCTTCAGTTGGTCAAAAACTTGCAAGGCTGACATTGTGAATGATTTTTCACTTTTGAAAATATCATGGGCTATTGTAGCATAAAAACGAGAGGCCCACAGGCCACAAGGCTCACTTGAATAACTGTGGCCCCTCTTGTTCATCAGCAAATTCTTTTACCTATATATTCCCATGTCAAATTTGATCACCCATTGTAGTCCCAGCCTATTCCCAGAGGTTATGATTTGAACAAACTTGAATTTACACTATCCAAGGATTTTTTTTTTTTTTAATAATATGACTTATCATGACTTGCTGTTC